GGAGATGCTCTCAAAGGCAGCATTCCCATGGTGGGTTCAACCAAGGGCAAATGGGGTGCAGGGGAAATGCAAAAATGCCAGGCTATTGTAGCTTAAAGCTTTTACTACTTGTAGCCATAGGAGAGGCAGTCATCCTTTTATAATGAGGAGAAGTTGCAAAAAATCTGAGAAACTACCAAAGAGGAAAGGGTTGGGGAATGTGTGGCCATCATGGGAAACCTGGATGGCCGAATTTGGCCCCCTGGCTTGGGATTCTGCAGCCCTGCTCTGTATGAAGGGCTGTTCAGGCCAAGGATGGTTTAAAGATAAAGAACTATAAAGTGTAGAGGGAACTTGAAATAGCCCATCCATGGCATGTGACCAAACACAAAAGCTACCTGGTCATAGTCTTCCCACTAGCATTATATTTATACTTAGATTATAGTAATTATGTCTGAATTTGCAACTGTGGCTATCAGTTAAGGCATGGGTGCTTTATGCAAATCAATGTCCTCTTTCATTCTCTTTTTTTGGTGAAGGGTACATAGCCAAAACTCTGCAGGCCGTTTACCCAATTCATTTCTGATTACCTGGTGGTATGAGATGTTTTGATTACCACAGACCTGTGAAAGGACAGCATGAATTGGCTGCCTTGCTTGGGAGAATTTTTTTTCTAGAAATACTCGCCTTCCCTGAAGTTTCTCAGCTGCAAGTTTCATCCATTGCGTTCCTTTCTGTAATTGTGAAGAATGATTATTCCTTCATGCGCAGCCGTGTAACTATCTTTCCTCTTAATGCTTGCGTATATTTCCATCTACAGTTTCATTTATCCTGAGGTGGCTTCATTCAGTGCAATGCCTTTCTTGGGCCTTTGAATTGATTTCAAGGTTTTTAATCCTTTCAACATTTCTAGCCGAGGCTAAAAGCCAAGACACTCAATCAGGCTGTGTTGGAGCTTGATGCTAGTGGGCAGCTTTTAAGCAAATTCAGTAAATAAATAAACATAAAATAAATGCACTGATTCAGATGGCAGGTACAGGGAATCGCAACCACCCAGCCCCTGGCTCCCATGGGCTGAACTGCCATTGTCATCATGTCAAATTCAGCAGCAGCAGCAGCAAAAAAAAAAAAAAAAAAAACACCCACACACAAGACTATTTGCAGGATTCTTTGGGGGAAACAGAGGACTGTATGTATCCAAGGCTAGTCCTGTTTAGATCCATTGAAATGCATGGACCTTAAATTAGACTTACATAGGATGCAGCCCAGTGATAATTAAAAGTGGCATAAAAACATATTTACATTCATGCTGCAGATCTGCCCTCCATGTATGAAGCTGTTCCCCTCCTGGCTGCTTCAAGCCATTCACTTCTTCAAGCCCCCAACCTAAAGAACCAGTTGCTGAGCCAACCTGTTCTCCCTTTGTGCATCCATTGAAACTCCCATGAGCCCTTGCTGCAGCCCTCAGTTATTGTGATGTCTGAAGTATGGATTATATAGTTTCTGCAGCAGGATCTGTAGAAGACAAACAATTTTGACACCAGCATAAGTGTTCTAATAGCATTAGAAACATCACAGAAATCTAATTGAAGGTGCTTCCAGACTGACAAGATCTTAGAGCGACAATCCAAAGCCTTTTCCATCTCTTCTTATTTAATGATTGTCCATGCTAAAAGAAAAGATGGAGGAAGCTGTGGGGAAGCACAAGAGGGCTACCAGTGGAAGAAGATGGCATCTGGACCCCCCCACACACACATGCCCACAATTCCATGAATGAGGCCGAGTGATGATGTAATTAAAGCCCCATCTGGAAACATTCATATACATGGATCTGGTTCTCATCAGAACAATGAGCAGCAGTAAAGGTTGTCTTTTGCCAGACAAGTGGATATAAATGAATCAAAATACCATGTACACTGTAAACAGAAGAGATTTCTCTAATTTTATATAGTTTGAAGGAAAAAGGCATAAGAACGTAAGGGAAGGGCCCTGGTCTGTCTGACCACAAATCTCTCCATGCCAGCATTCTGTTTTCCACAGTGGCTGATCTCCAGGAAGCCTGAGGGTGATCGACACCAACAGCTCTGCTTCTTAGAAAGTGTTTTTTAAAAGCTTGCAGAACTCACCAGATACCCAGGGAACTCTGGAAGGTTGATAGAAACCCTTGCGGATTGCAATTGCAACATGGCAAGGACCCAAATTTGCTCACCTTTAACAAACACTTAATATCTTCAGCTTCAGTCCATCACAATTCAGAGCCATCCAACCATATATCTTAGGGCACTTTGCAATTTGACTCCAAAAAGTGCACTAGAGTCAGTCCCAATCTCTCTCTCTTGCGTTGCATGTGAATGCTGAAGTATTAATGCAGGAAAGTATTTGCAGCCACTTAACATTTTATATTTGCCTTGGGAGCCAATTTAAAGCAAAACCTATTTAAGCCCCATATAAATGGTAATCAGATATACATATCTATTTAAAACGTACTACCTTCTTTCATTTCTTTTTTTAACTTTAATTTTTGCATTTTCTACTATTTTAAAGTCACCGCAAATATGAGGATTTAAAACACACGTTCTGTCACCATAAGCTTTCACAACTCATCAAAACCATACTAATCTTTGTCAACAACGCTGCCAGAATCAATCAGCTCAAAAGTTAGAATATGTAGCTTCCAAGAACCTTGTTCCATGCTTGTACTGTTTACAAACTATTTCTAGAAGAGTTAACCTTGTTTTTTTAACTCTCTAGACAGCTTCATTTGATGTGTCTTTTTTCCCTCTCTGTCTCTCATAAAATCCCAAAGTAAAATAAATGTTGAATTTTCCAGCGATATCCTATGCCAGCTTTCTCCAACCTGGTGCCCTTCAGATATCTTGGATTGCAATTCCTAGCATCCACTGCAAGCATGTTTCAGTCTGACACACCTGGAGGTCACCAGGTTGGGGAAGGCTGACTGCCTCTATTTCAGCTGCTATTCATAAGCAAGGCCTGATGCAAGAGGTTACTGGGGAAAATACGGAACAAAATCTGTGACAGATAAAGCTGTTGGCGAATGATAGCCTGTGTTTCTTTAGCCATCCTCTGCCCATATTGATTGAGTACTGCACAAATGCATGCACATATACCTGGCATGCAGTATCTCTTTCAGCCCAAGGGCTGGATTCCAACTTGGAGAAGGTTTCAGGGGGTGTACCCCCAATAGTGGGCTGCACCGAAGCCCAAAGAGACAGGGGTCTTTTAGCATCCTTTTGCTTTTTAACATCTTTTCCCTTTTAGCTTAAGGCTCTGACTGCCAGCAACTAAGCCTTAGGAAGGACATCAGATCCCTGCTGGATCGTACCAAAAGCCCTTCTAGTCCACCATTCAGGCCACACAGTGACCAACCAGTTCCCCATGGGAAAGCCACAAATAGGATCTGGATGCAATAGCACCTTTTACAGCAGGCCGGCAGTGGCGGGAGGCACAAAAGCGAGGAAGCCACCAAGCAGCCAGTGGCTGAGGGAAACTGGGCAGGGCCAAGGGCAGGGCGTGGTTGGCGGGACTGTGTGGGTGGCTGTGATGTACCCCCAGGACAACTGGACTGGCACCCCCTGCCATATATTGGGACCTCCAGTATTTCTTCAGATAAGTTTTATGTTCTTCCTGAAACCTTCTCATAGGGTGTGTTTGGAGGTGAGCAGTGATCCTGTCGCTTCTGCTAGGAGTCGTTTTAGAGGACCGGGTAGGGGTCACGTTTTTCAAGGGAGCATTTGCACCCTTATTGCTCTTTTCCTCCTGAACGTACAAAAAGCAAAACAAAAAGGCACAAGGATAAATCAGCACTTGAGACATTTGTCACATCAGATGTGGCAAAGGTAGGAAGAGAATACTAATGTTCCAAGGCTGAATCTCCTGCCCTGGTTTTGGTACAGTCAGAAATAACAATCTTCAGAGTTACATCTTCCCAAGTCCTGCTTCAGTTGTTCGCCTCTCACCAACCTGGGGCCATCCAGATGGTTTGGGCCACAACTTACAGTGTTGCTGACTATTGGCCATCCTGGCTGGGGCAGATGGGAGTTGAAGTCCCAAGCACCGCCGAATGGCACCAGGCTGGGGGAAGCGGCTACAAATGGATCTGTCCAAAGTCGTCACTCACATGCCATTAAAAACAAACTTCCTGATAGGCATTGATTTTAGTGCTACTGGTCCCACACTTGACTGCTTTGCTCCAGCTCAGCTGCCGTTGAGCTGCTTCATTCTCCACCAGGCCGTTCCCCTAGTGCTTTAGCCATTTCATGTTATTTTCCTGCAACCATTGTAGATACCTGCAGATGCATACATGTGTGCATGCACCAAAGGTCCCACTTTCCATCCCTGGCATCCACAGGCTGAGTTGGGGAAAAACCCTCCCTGGAATCCAGAGGAGCCACCCCTAGAAAGAGTAGACCAGCGTTTACCAACCTTGACTCCCCCAAGTTTGGATAATGGCTCCCATCATTCCACAACAAACATGACCAGTGCCCAGGAACAATGGGAGTTGCAGTCTAGCACTGGTGGGCCAAAGTTGTGAGCCAATGATGCAGAAAAGAGTACTGGTAGGATCCCTGCCATGACTACCCTTAATCCTGTTGCTGATGTACAGCTAATGTCCATAAGCCTGCAGGGGGAATTTGTGTTCCCCAAGGTCAGCTGGCGAAGGATAAATGGGAAGTGATCCTGCATCCTCTTCCTAATCGTGTTAAGAAATTGGCAGAGTTACATCTGCTCAAACCCCTGGTAGGAATGTGAACTAAAATGAATTCTCCTATAATTGTAGTTGACAGCTCACAAACTCATTACTCTTGCGCTACATAGAAATGAACAATTCCACAGGAAGTAAGTGATTGTTACAGGTTAAATATACTGTGGCAACACAAATATATTTAACTTCCTTTACCTCATTACTTGAAAGAAAAATATTGATGTTGTTCAGGGCTGTGCCTTGTTCATCAATTCTGTGTCATGCAAACTCTGAATAAACACATGTCAACTCTTTCCAGGAAGAAAACGAAATCCCTGCCAGTGTGTTTGTGAAGGAGCCTGTTCCCAGTATTACTGAGGGGAAGGAAGAGCCTCTTGATGAGAACAAGACTTTGGAAGAAACCTTGCATACCGTGGAGCTGTCCTCAGAGGATGAGGCACCCCACGAGGAAGGTGCTGATGACAGCATGGATGAGAAAATCGAGGAAACCAGAGCTGAGAAGATCAAAAGGTCAAGCCTCAAGAAGGTGGACAGCCTCAAGAAAGCGTTTTCCCGCCAAAATATCGAGAAGAAGATGAACAAGTTGGGCACCAAGATCGTCTCTGTGGAACGGAGGGAGAAGATTAAGAAGTCCCTCACCCCTAACCACCAGAAGTCCTCCTCATCAAAGAGTTCATCCTTCAAGGTCTCTCCCCTTACATTCAACGTGAAGAAGGTCCGTGGTGGAGATAATTCTGTGGAAGCCGAAGACAAGTTGGCCGAAGCAGCCAGCAGTGAGCACACAGCAAATGATGAGGAGACCTCCTTCACTGGGGTTCCCTCCGACCTGGTCTCTCCCACCTCTCAAGATGAAGAAGGAAACGCCTTGGCTGACTCCCTGGAAAAGGACACAGGAAGTGAAGGAGAACCACCAGTGGTCAACGACAACATCGAGCTTGCAATTGTTGAAGAGGATGACGACTATAGGGCTTCACTAGAAACCACACAGGAATACTATGAGGAAAGGAACAAACCGACCCGGGAAGACATGGAACAATCTGACGAAGAGCCGAGCCAAGCTGCTATCCTTCACGTAGACCAAACAGCATAAATCTTCTGAGCCTTCTTTTCCGTTTTTGAATACATTTGATTTTTTTAAACTACAGTAATAACCAGGGTATATGTTTATTACACAATAAAACAAGGGATAGCAGTAAGTTAAGGTGGAGATGTTTTTAATGTACATTTCCACAAAGTCTAATTTCATGAAATTAGAATGGAAGACTACAGTGACAAATGAGGTCTGATACCTAAGTAATTTGAATGCAAGTTTGTTGGCATTTTCTAGGCAACTTCAATTTCTTCCACCCCTTTGCCATTTTCTGTTGTTGCAATGAACGGTAAATGGAGTTGTGTTTAAAGGAACCGGTGGAGACACTTAAACCAATTGACAAAGGGTCTAGCTACTCTACAAATTTAATCAGATTTATATTCATTTATGGTTGCATCCAATGGGTTGTATCCAGTGTCACTCTAACTTGCATCCCATTCATTTGATGGTTCTCATTAGAGTACTAGATACAGCCCTTAACTTTTCCCCAGATAATCTTGGGAATTGTAGCTGGGTAAGGAAGCTGAGATATCGTGAACATCAGCAAACCTATCAGAGAATTCTGGCTTCCAAGGTTCCATGGACTCTTAAACCATTTTAAGGCGGGGGTGCAAGTTTGATTTTGCATTTCATCAGTGAAAAAGACTCCAAGTATGATGTTCATCCCACGTTATTCTTCCAGCCATGCTACATGGAAGGACTTAATTTTTGGGAAAGAGTGAGCCAGCATTGAAAGGGACATTTTGGCTGCAGTCATATACAGAGTTAATCCGGGAGTTAAACTTAGTGGGACTTACTTCTGAGTACACAGGATCGCACTGTTCAGTGTAGCCTGCTTTGCTTGCTGACCCTGGGAAATCAGGTGATTTGGGGAGAGGGGAAGGATGTCTCTGCATGTTAATGAACCGTTCTCCTGCTCACTGCTTTTTAAGCAACTAATTGTGAGCTGCAGGCTATGTGTTTTTCCCTCCGTGTAGGTTTATTTACACAGCTTTGTTTGTTCCCCTCTCTAAAAATATTTAAGCTTGGTTCTTCAGGTTAACTGTCGATGCGGTAAAGTCACCACATGGTGTTTTTTCTTCTTAAGTGTCAGAAACTTCACATGACCAAAGCTGCCCTTGGCCATGACAATGAGTCTCGAAAATCAGGACTTACCCTGATTTGATTCCCTTGGCACTCACTACATGAAGGCACACCAAAAGGAAATATTTTTACTGGGAAAATCAATGCTATGAAGATCAGCACTGTGGTGACTTCACCTGATCAAAAGTAGTGTGAGACTTGGAGCTTTGCTGCTTTATTGTTAGTAACTACTGAGGCAGAGCAATTAGGCTATTGTGTGGTCAGCTAACTAGGGACCATCTTAATCATAGCTGAGCTTTATTACTCTTCACAATATTATTTTATCCACCTCCACTATTCTCAGGAGGAGTTTTTGCTTTTCTGTTACTTCCTCTTTAAAATCAAAATCTAGCGTTACTTGAACATCTGTATTAGTGTAGTGGGATTAATTGGAGCTGGTATTCTGAAGACCAGTTTTCATCTTCTCCACAACACACACTCTGTAATGGAAAATCGGCACAATTGTCCATGGAAGATGGGATACGTTGGGTGTGATGGCCTCATGCAAGTCATGGACCCAGCAGGTAGATTGTAGGCAGATCAAGGACCAATGTGGGGAGCCTTTGATGCTGCAGATGGTGTTGAATGCCAGCTCCCATCAGCCCTAGCCTGGTGATCCTGGATGGTGATGAAGAGCATCTGCAGGGCTATGTAGTCCCTACCACTGCATGTCTAGGTTCTTCGGGGTGCAATTCTGTGCATGTTTAGACTTGTGAAGTAAAGAATGCTGGGAATTGTAGTCCTTTTTTCTGGGTAAACATGCATAGGATTGCACCTTTAGGCATATGCAGGCTGAGGGGGAGAATGCTATCCTAGGAATGTTTTTCTTTTGCAGAAGTTGCTATTTTGCTGATGGTGCCCTTTTCCTCAGGAGATCTTTGGAGTGTGGTGTTGTAACTGGTCATAAGTGGAGACGGGTGAAGCATTTAGTTTGTTGGTTGTATGTAAAGTCAAAGTAGTGTACATATGTCCTCTAGTTAAGTTTGCTTCCCTTCCCCTTTGTTCTAAGATTGCTGTTTGCCTTGTTTTGTTCCAGCTATGCCAATTCAATTATTAATGTATGTACACACACGTGCGCACACACACACACACACACACACACACACACACTATTTTGATCTATTTTAAGAGAGAACAGGTTTTAAAATAGAATAAAGTCCTATTTGCTCATTTAAAAAGGAAGCACTATGTTTAAATTGCAAAAGGGAGATCTATATTGTAATCGAAGCAGCTCATGGAAATAAATTATCAAACAGATTTATATATTCAGCCAGCTACTGTATTTAAGAGTGAAATGTAAGAGATGGATTGGTATATTGCAATATAGCCTAATAAAAGTAAAGAGAATCTATGATAAAATAGAGGAGAGAGTCGGACACAATATTCTGCCAAACTATAGAGTACATGGGATAGCAGTCCAAGTGAACTGTTCCAGAAAGATAATTTTTCATTCTGCACCTGAACAACATTACAAATAAGGGTGTTCTGAAAAGTATATCAATAGATTATTTATATGTATGTATGTATGTAACAGAAGATGGCCACATTCCAGTACGTGAAATGCACCTTAACTCACCAGATTTTCATGGGACTTGAGTGTGCCTAACTACATTGGCCAATATTCAGATGTGGAAAGTGTTGACAAATGGCAGAAATGTTGACGATGCTTCACACACATGGGTAATGTCCAGCTTAAGTAACTACATGGGAATGCTGACAGCAGCCATCTGGGATTGGCCAGTGAATCTGGACAGGTTCCATATTTTTGGACATCTCTTAAGGCTCATGGGGGGTTGCTAACATTCCCTTGTCATTTTTAACAAGTTACACATTTTGAACAATAACTGTAATATGTAGGATTTATGTTCAGATGGAAATATAAGAAGTGTTTTAAAAGTGAACGGAAGGCTTTTTCAGCTAGTGATGTCAGAAGAGTTTATAATATGTTGTATGTGTTTTTGTGTTTTTTTTTAATTTTGTGGTTGGAGTTACAAATGGCTATTGAGTGCAATCCACCAGGAATTTCTGCAGTGTAAGCCCAGTACAAATCTGTTTATGCAGTTCTGATTCATTTCAGTAGGGCTTTGTGAGTCTGAAGAGTTTCCATTGGACAATGTGCAGGTTGCATCCACAATTTCTGCATCTTGCGAGTTCCCACTGGACTTCACAGATATAGCATCTGAATTTTCTGAAGTTATTTCATTTTTCAACCAAAACCTTGACATGTTCAGAAAGGAAACTGCATTCCTTCTGCATATTCTTGCTCACCGAATCCTCCATCCTGATTAAGCACAAATGTAATAACAAACTCACAAGTGCCTGACAATCTCCCTTTATTATTTGTATACAAAGTATTTTTCTCCTTTTAATACTGATAAAACCTGCTTTTGCATATTGCACTAAAGCCTTAGCTTTGCTGCCCAACCCCATATATTTAGAACTGCAAATTAAGAAAGTCTTCTAAGAAAACATATCTATGACAGTGAGCTATTCCCTGTGAAGAGCTTTGTGCAACTTTTTACATGTCACTGGATGCTTGATTAGAGTTGATTTCTAAGCAGGACTTTAAACCTTTTTTTAAAAAAATCTACAATATTATGAGAGAGTTGCAATCTGTAGAAATAACTGTGATGTAATCCACACATTCATCTTACTTTGAATTAACAATAATGCCTGTTACTAACTGCAAATGTGTTAAAGTCAATAAAAACAAACTGAACTAAGTTGCATTTGTCTGGACAAACTTATTGTAGGATTTGGCAATGAAACTTTTCAGAAAATAATTCTTACAACCAGACCAGGCATGCCTGTAAATGTTGGCATTTAATGTGCTGGTTTTTAAAAATGCAAATATGGTCAGGTAAGGATCTATGGATTTTATTAAATACATTCCATCTTTGTTTTGCAAATGTCAGGTGTCTTTCATCCTGTTGTCCACTCATTGACAGAAAGAATTTTTTGTATAAGAATTATGTTTATTTGCAAAAGTGCATCAACAGAAATGGGCATTAATGTAAATGTGCAAATGTTAATCTCCACTTGTGTCAATGTAGACTGGCATGAATATGCGTTTGCAAATGAATGACATTGTGCAAATTACAGACTGATGCAAAGTAACAAAACAGTCTGCAAAATCTGCTTGGCTTGGTAAAAGCTGGTCTAGTGATGAATCTGCTGGCTGAATCCAAAGAAATCCAAGCTCATTTGCTCAAGCATTCCTGCTATCTGCTGAGTGGAAGGAGCAGAGAATCAATAGGCATGGAGTGTGGGTGTAGCCATCTCCTCCCCGCGGTGGTCCTGAAAGTATTCCCAGTGCAGAAAGCAGCATTAGAGGAGGAGGGATTCCCTCCAGGACTGTAGCGGGTCAGGAAAGGAATAAATTTCCCCTCCATGCCTGCTGTGACCTTGATCATTCCCAGCATAACCACCCCAGCAGATGCTATTTGCATTTTTTCAAATGGGCACATTAAATGCAAGGGCACATTAAATGCAAAGTCACACTTAGCATCACACCAAGTGTCACTGTTCGTCCAACTAAAGCAAGGATTCAGAACCCAAGTGCCAAAGCCAGCGCTCCTCGCATCGCATTCTAGCCTTCCAGAGTTTCCTAAGTCGTCGCGACTCCCTCGTCCTGCCCTCACACATCTTGTGGTTTCCCTGATTCGGAGCAGTTCCTGTCTTCCTTCCAAATGGCTGAACTGAATCTTCTAAGGCTGGCTTACTGACAGGAAGAGCTTTAAGCTACAATAGACTGGCCTTTTTTGTATTTTGCACCCTTTGTCTTTGGCCCTGCCACATTTGCCTTCTTTGCTGTCCACATGGCTCGCAGCAGCTTCTGTGAAACAGAATTCGGCCCTCGGGGCTGCAAGGGGTACCACGCTTCTGAGCTAAGCATGCACAGAGCAGCCTGTGCGCTTACAGACATGCATCCTGCTGCCCGTTGCTGCGATCATCTGGTCTCCCTGAACTAGCTGGATGTGTGCGTTCATGGGGACAAGGGTCCAAATCCCATATCCAAGCAATACTTGGGACGTAATGGAAAGGCTTAACTGCATGCAATGGAGAAAGGCGTGTAACGAGACTCCAACACCTTTTTTCTTACCAAAAAAAGATAAACTTCAAAGGGGAGCTTTGAGCAAAGAAGACGTTGCAGGAAGGGAGTTCCTTAATTCTTACTCATGCATTTTAGCACTGCACAAAATTGCCCCTCCAGTGGCTTTTCCTACCATGAAGTAAAAAAATAATGTTTAGCTATGCATTGCCTATGTGGGGGAAAGGCACTTGGGGATCAATTTAGAGCTAAGAAATGGTAGGTGGGGAAGGAGGTAGCATCCTCTTCTCCCCTCCCCAGCTGCTCTTCAGCTCAAAAATCATCCTGCAGCTCCTTTCATTGAAGGGTAAACAAAACCCAGACCCATGAGATCCAGTGTGATACAGTGATCTGTGCCAAACATGAGCCACTGAGCCCCAGGTTCAAATCCCCGCTCAGCCATGAAGCTTTCTGGGAGATCTTGGGCCACTCACCACCTCTCAGAATAACCTATGTCACACGGGTTGTTGTATGAATAAAACGGGGGAGGAAAGCTACATATGGCACCTTTGAGGCACCGTGACCATAAAGAAGATACTGGGGCCTCGATAGGCATGTGCCATCACTGTAGTTAGTTAAAACGCTATCTGAGAATGAATTTAACTCTTGATTCTACGTCCCATTTTTCTCTATTCCATTTCATCTGATTAAAGAGTGGGTAAGAAAGAGACCGTGAAAAATGGTTTATTGAAGAAATCACAGCACTAAGCTTTCCAATTTAGCTTTTGAGAGCACTTTGCCAGGTCTGGTATATTTGCATTTTTAACTGTGTTACACTAGGCGTTTAATATGGTATCGCAGAGAGGTGTACAAGCAGAACTGCACAGAAGTGGATGTTCTGTTTATTCACACTGATAAGGCCTGTATTGCACCGAGTGCCACATAGTATTTAGAAGACTTAATTTTACTGACAGGCCCAAGCTTGCTCGTTTAACCTTCATGGGATAGCTGTCAACGTCCAGCAGCCCCTTTAACACTCACCAGGGAATTGAACATCATGTTTGTATTTCACTCTCAGCTGCACTTGTATTGTTTATGTTCCTGAAAGCCTTAAGTCAAATACACCAGCATTGGAGAAACGGACATCCACGGGCCTCATTTTATCTGGCTTCTCTTATCAGCTTGAATAAGATGCATGCTCTGTGTTTGCAGAACATAAGAACTAGCCAGCGCTTTGTGCAGTTAAAATTAAAAACAGCGATGTGGAATTAGAGCCACTGTAAGGTAGCCAAGCTGCTCTCTAAGTTTGGACGCCCAAAACTGCCTTCCCATGCAAGAGCAGCTTTATCTTTTTTTCTGAGTTTTTAAAATGGAGGAAAATTATAGTAAGTGGGCAGGATTCCTCCTTTTTCTAGCACATGGCCTCTCACACACATGTCTGTCTGTCTGTCTGTCTGTCTGTCTGTCTGTAAACTGAAAGATAATGCAAAGTTAGACTGGGATCCAGGGGATCTGGGTTCTAATCCCCACCTGGCCATGAAGATCACTGGGTGACTTGGAACCAGTCACTGACTCTCAGCCTAATCTGCTTCACATGATTCTTAGGATAGGAGGAGCATGACAAAAGTTTTGTAAGACATCTTGAGAACCTTGAGGAATAAAAAGTGGGCTATAGATATAATAAACAAACAAACAAATGGGATTTAAATGACTCAAACAAGATTCCTGAGTACTGAATAATTTTGAAAAAAGAGAGAAAAAGAATGAAAACACAGAATTAAAATATTTATAATCACATTATCATGGCTGATCAGTCAGGGAAACTTGGTTTAAAATAAAAAAATGACTTCAGCAGGTGCTGAAAATGGAATAGTGTGGGCACCTGCCCGCACTGGCAGGCGTGGAGTTTCATAGAGAGGGAGCTGGATGGTGTGTGTGTGGTCTATGACAAATTGCCACTGTTACCAGAAGCCGGTGATTTCTGGATGTTAGAAAATACTTTATCAATTTTCTTGAATATGTCAAATGGTGAGTTACACATATTCCACGGGTTCTTCACATATGGATTTATCCCCTGCTCATTCACCCTCTGTCTGTGTGTGTGTATGTGTGTGCACACGCGTGTGTGCTTGTAGTGAGATGCTGATCATCTCTCCCACAAGGCAGAGCCCAGTTGGCTCCATGGTACACTACTGAGCTGCGGACAATTAAACTGGTGGGTAGACAGCTAGAGCACAGGTGGAGGAAAACCTGAGCTGAATCTGATCAGACACGTTGGAGAGCACATTATCAAGCCTACTCTGTGGCAGTGAAGGTGGTGAAAAGAGCCGTTTTCTCTGCCAGCATGAAAAGCCACCCAGCAGAGTTGTTCTGTGTGGTTCACAGCTTCTCCATGTTGGCTCTAAAGTTGACCAGATAGAACCTTCGGCAGCCCATTGTAAGAGTTTGGCACAGCATTTCAAGAGCAAAATCACTCATATCGACATGAATTGGACTCCGCATTGGATAGAGGCATCCAGTGCACGGTCTGGTCCTATTTGGATAAGTTTCAGTTATTGAGGCCTGATGACACGGGCAAGATACTTGGACAAGTCCTGCCTACCACCTGTTTACTTTACCCTTGCCCAAGTTGGCTGGTCATTCAGTCTAAGGAAAGAATGCGAGTCTGGATCCAGGAAATTGTGGATTCTTCTCTGAAGGAAGGACTGGTCTCTTCCCTGTTAAAAAAGCCAGTGATTAGGCCCCTTTTGAAGAGGACTGAACTGGATACAGAAAATCTTGGTGATTTTGGACCAGTAGCCAATATCCCATTCCTGGGCGAGGTGCTTGAGTGGGGGTGGTGGCTGGACAGCTCTAGGTGTTCTTGGAAGAAACCGAATATCTGGACCCATTTCAGTCCAGTTTTAGGGCTCCATCTTATCCCCCATGTTTTTCAACATTTACCTGAAGCCATTGGGAGAGGTCATCAGGGGGTTTGGGCTGCAGTGTCGTAAGTACACTGATGACACTCAGCTCTACCTCTCATTTTCATCGAATCCAGGTGAGGCGGTGATGGTCCTAAATCAGTGTCTGGCTGGGGTGATGGGCTGAATGAGGGCCAGTAAACTGAAACTTAATCCAGACAAGAAAGAGGTTTTGTTGGTAGGTGGCTCCCATGTCCAGATGGAGGATATCTGCCCTGTCTTGGATGGGATTGCACTCTGTCTACAGGATGGGGTCCAGAACTTGGGTTCTTCTGGACCCTGAGCTGTCCTTGAAGCACCAGGCTGGCTCAGTGGCCAGTGCCTTCCATCAGTTTCAATTAATTCATCAACTTCCATCATATCTGGACAGGCAGGATCTAGCAACAGTAATCCTTACCCTGGTAACCTCTGGGTTGGCTACTGTAATGCACTCTACATTAAGCTGCCTTTGAAAATGATCCAGAAGTTACAGTTGATGCAAAATAGAGCAACTGGGCTGTTGACGGGAACGGTAGTACCAAACATATTACCGTACTTTTCTGTGTATAAGATGATACTTTTCCTTAAAAATGTATACCCAAAAATGGAGGGGCGTCTTATACACGGGGGGGCCGAGAGGAGAATCACAGTTGCGAAACTGCCAATACCTTATCTCTATAAACTAGTCTCATGAGCGAAACTTCTGATTGCAGAGACAAGCTAATAGGTTTCCTCCAATCATGAGCCTTAT